AATAATAATCTTTTGGGACTTGTTTTGTAATTTTTTTTTTCTCAGGACCTTTTTGTAATGATTCCATAAAAAAATAGAAAAACTTCAGTTGTGTTGTAATGGGCCTCATCTTTGTGTTTTGCCGATTCAAAGAATGTGGTAGAATAGAGTCATATTTCGTTTTAACGTCAGAAGGATTAAATTAAAAAGATTAGTAAACCTAACTAACCTAATCGATAGTTTCAACTTTAACTATGCTTTTGAAAGAAACTGGGAATCAATTTCTTGTAGGTGTATCGATGGTTTAATTATAATTATGAGATACATCCAACGCTTAAATATTACATAAATCTTCCTCAGGTGGCGAAAAGTAAGCAAGAAAAAAAAATACTTGGAAAGGGGAAAAAAAAACAAATAGCAGGAGCTTCAATAATATATGATGAGGATCAAATGTTAGTGGTGAAGCCCGGGGAAAGAATGTAAATCAAGAAGGCAATGGACTCATAAGTGCCTTCTTGCGAAACAACATATAGCCTTTGTTAGCTTTAGTTGTTTGATTAGGTTTGTACAATGAGATTATTCCACACTTCAATTGCAAGATTGTTAGAATTTTTGAGAATATTAAATTATTAAAAATTGGAATTAGATAATATATATTTATATATTTAATTTTAGATTGAATTATACAGACCGTAATTGAAATTTTTGGGCTGTCTGTTGAATTTTTATGTTTTTTTTAATAATATTATAATTATTTGAGCGTAACTTGTGTGTATTACTGCAACCTCGCTGTGTTTATTTCTTGCATATATGAATGTATTTATGACATTTTTTTTCTTATTTAATGACAATAATTAGAACTACGAAAATAAATGGTGTTAAAGCTTTACAACTTTAGGACTCGGACAGAAATTGCAATTAATTATATACAATTTATTAGACTTTTCGCTCAAATTCAAATGGTTTTATAGTAATACTTCCAGTTCTTAATATAAGAGTTAGTTTGACTTTTAATTTGGTTCTAAATATAAGACCCTAATCCACTTTGTTTCTTGTATTTATCCATTTTTTAAAGTAATCTTTGTAACAGTTGCACATATTAAATATTCCATCAAATAATAGTTTTAACTAATACACATTATTAGCTAAGGTATTTTAGGAAGGATAAGACCTATTTATTATAGATAATTAACATAACAAACTTTCTTAATCTACTCAAATTAGTTAACCAACTCTTATATTAAGGACCGAAGGTAGTATTAAACTTTTCAAAATACCCTGAAAATATTCCTTATCAAGAATAATATTACTTTCTTCCTCCGCGATAACAACTTTTTTCCAAAGGGAAGAAGAGAGAGTAAAGCGCTTTTAGCTCGTTTAGTGGGGATGAATTTTTCATGCCATAGAATAATAAGCAGAATCTGAGTACTAGAAGCATCAGAACACACTTAGCGTTGCTTTTGGAAGTTCTTTGCAAATATAGAGAGAAACGCAAGACGCAATACACGCACACGTATATGCTCTCTAAGTCTTCATTTTATAGATTCAAACTCTCTGTGTTCGATCATTTGGAAGAATAAGGTTATGATGAATCATCTACGATCTTCTTTATTTTTGTTTTCAATCGTCCATTATCCTTTTGTTCACACCATATATATAATCGCTGCAAACAAATTCCTCTTCTTATCCTTATCATTATTATTTTTTCCAATACATTAGATAAGGATTGACGGGTGCTTCTTAATTTGAAGAGATCGGAAAGGCACTGATAAATCCTGATTTTATATTGATTTTTCATATCTTATTTGGGATTTGTATCAATTAATTTGGGCTTAATTGCATTTATTATGATTAATTTGGATTAATTGTGATTGGATGAAAATAATGCTAAAAAGAGCAAAAATATATTTTTATGAAAAAAATATGATATCTCAATATCCTAGATTTTATTGTAGAAAATTTGAAAGAAAAAAAAAACAGGGCGGCGGGAGAATTAGGGTCCTCCATCATCTTCTTTTACATATATGAGAAGTCACCCCCACAATCATCCTCATTCGGTTATCTTGCCAAGAGTGACGGCAGAGGCAAAACACAAAGCAGAGAGTAGAGCAGAACGAAGGATCAAGGCAGACTCATCCATCCCTCATCATCACCTCTCCCATCTCCGTTCAGAACCATCATCATCGTCATCTTCTTGCTGGTGGCAGCGTAGAACGACGGCAGGAGTTAGAGAGTGAGAATCAGAGGGAGTGAACAGCGACGGCGTGAGAGGACCTGTGTGACGCCGGCGAACTCTGTCTGATTCTCCATAAAATATTTATCATCCTCATTCAGTGAAAACACGAGAAGCCGAGCTGATGGCAGAAAGAAGATTCAGCGTGAGCAACACAGACGAAGCAGCTGACGGCGGAAAGAAAGAGCGAACAGGGAGCAGTGGAGAGACCAGAGGAGTGAGGTTGACGGCGGGAGGTAGTCTTCCATCATCATCGACTTCATCTTCTTCCTCTTCTCAGCGCGACAACAGAACCAGAGGCGAGCAGGACGACCAGTGGAGTCGACGGCTTGAACGAAAACCAGATAAGCTCGACGGTTTTCTTCACTCTTCCTTCAATATTCTTCATGGCTGGATATGGTAGACTGCTGATTGTGATATTTTTGATGGCAAACCGTAGCTAGGGCTTCATAATTCTCCAATTCAACAGCAATGGCAAGAGGTTGGATCTTCATAGGGAAGTTTTAGTTGCTTTAATTTCCTGCTCAATAATTGTTTAACAATTCCTAGGTCTTAGGATAATTTCTCTAATTATTGGGATAATTGTATTGCTTAATCTAATTATGTTTGGAGATTATTATGACTGAATTACTGTTTAGCATTTGATATTGGGTTATTTATAGCTTTAATTTCAATTATAATGTTGTGGTTATGACACTTGCATTGACTTTGGAGTTAATATATTGTGATTTTCTGAGGTAGCTTGGAATCTTGATTCGTAATATCTCTTGCTAGCTTTAATTCTATTATTTTGGATTTAAGAGTTCTAATTACACATTAGTTTTTAGCATCTTTAATTCCATTTTACTATTATGGTTGCAGTTAGTAAGTTAGGATTTTGGAAAATATTTTGTGGTAATTTGAGGTGACTCGATTGTTGGATTAAAAGCTTAATTATAATTTTTAATTTATTGTTTTAACTCCCGTATCTGTTGAAGTGAGGATTGCCTCCGTTGTTGAATTGAAAGATTGATTATTATCATTGTTCACTCGCGTGTTTCACTTTCATTTCATTCATCTTTGTTCATTTTAATCATTTTTATATAAAAACATCAAAAACAAGTATTTTAATTTCAATTTAACTCTTGATATTTAGTTAGCAACTCTTCAAAATCAAAAATCCTTTTTAGAGTTTAGGTTACTTCATTTATCTATTAGGATTTAATTTCGTTTTTTGGCTCCTTAAAGTGAATATAACTCGGATTGTGTACTATATTGCATTAATTCAGTTAATTTTGAAGTGGACCTACGGCGACTAACGGTTTGTTATTCAGGCACATTCTCTGAGACTATTTCAAAAGAAAATCTGGTAGATGGAGGACATGAAGCAGAAAGGCTTGACCACTGAGAGTACCGAACAAACGGTGAGATTCCAGTTTGATCAGTTGGTAATTAAGAAAAGAAAAATTTAAATTTCCCAAGCTTTAATATCTATAACAGTTTTCCTTTTTCCCCCCTCACATATTTGATACTTTAATTAAGAATATAGTATACTTTAATAATATCTATATTATTAGCTTGTTTAAGTTTAGGTGGCAGCAGCGATACATACTGAGATGAATCAAACAGACATGGCCTTCGGTGAGATGCAACCACTTCTCTCATCTCAGCCGATAGATTTATCGTCCAATTACAAGCAGCAACAACATGTATGCATCCTTTACTACTCTTTCTTCAGTTCTGAATTCTTTTCTTCTTTTCTACATATACTTTCTTTTAGATTACTATTTTTAAGGAAACTTCTGTTTAATTTTTCAATTATTAGACTTTCTTAGCCTTATTTTGTTTCTCCTTTCTTCAGTTCTTAATCCTTTTTGCATCATGTGCTTTTCATTCGTAATGACTTTTCTTATTTTGTTACGTTCCCTTCAATTTGTTTGAAGTTTGTTAAATTGCTTGTGTTTAATACACCATTGGAGCTTTTTTCTTCTTCACCCTTAGATGGTTTTAGCTATAAACTATTTATGAGAATGCAAACAAGTCATTCTTAAGAACACAATTTAGATCTTAAGAGCTCTTGGCACGGTTTTTTGAATTATTATTTTACCAATACAGATCAATCTTGAGGCGTCATTTAAAATCTGTCTTTACATAATCATTATCATTATTGTTCAATCATGACAAAACTGGAAATTGAGGACTGTTTAATACAATCATTAAATAAACAGTACCAAGTCTTTTGAGCTCTTGTTGGGTCATCCTATGAAGTACATGTAAGCCAAGTGGTTGGTTTAAATGTCAATATGTGCGAGAGTAATAAAAATGAATGGGAATGCTATTATTTCATGCATATGGAAGTCTCATAATATATGTATATATATCTTTTGAACATATAGAAAGTCTCGTAATTTGTGTGTGGGTATCTTCTGAACATATAACATATGCATCTAAATCATACTTCATAGGTGGAAGATGAGGTGACTATAGACATCAAAGAAAATTTTCAGGAATGCAGAGATGATCTTTTGTTACAAGATTGTTGTACCTAAAGGTGCCTATTACACTCCGTCATCTGAAAGATGAGGCTTATACCCCAAAAGTTGTTTCGATTGGCCCCTTCCATTATGGTAATGAGAGGCTGCAAGACATGGAAAGGTATAAACAAATATTGTTCAAAAGATTTACTGGAAGAGCTATGTCAAGTTTGGACGATTTGGTTTGTCTCATAAAACATTTAGAGCAAAAAATTCGTGCTTCTTATTCAGAGACCATCAACTTTACTGAACAAAAACTTGTGAAGCTAACATTAATGGATGCTAGCTTCATCATTGAATTCTTCATCATGTACTGTGGGAACGATGAGTTACTCAAGAATGGTAAATTGTCACAGCCATGGTTACAGGAATCTATACGTTTTGATTTACTCTTACTTGAGAATCAACTTCCATTCTTTGTTATTGACGAGCTGTTCAATAAAGCTTTTCCTCATGACCGTTGCGGTACCCACCCTTCAGTTCTTAGGCTCACATATCACTATTTTTGGTGTTTTAACTTAAAACAGTTATAGCCTAATTCTGATGTTAAGACATTTTACAGATCTTATTAGATTGTTTCGCATGCAAGGAAAAATGTCTCAACAGCGACATTCATTCTCCGAGGTTGCAAGCCATATTCTTTTATACAATGCGAATAAATTGCAAGAAGCTGGCATCAAGTTGAAGGCTAGTGATAGCAAATGCCTATTGAACTTGAGATTTTCAGGGCATGTTCTTGAAATTCCAAAAATTCGGGTGGATGTTTACACTGAGCTTTTTTGGGGTAATATTATAGCATTAGAACAATGCCATTATCCTGATAATGATTACATTGCTGACTATGCTCTTCTTTTTAATGGGCTAATAGACACATAAAGATGTGGATCTCCTCGTTCACAGCAAAATTGTCGAAAATCATTTAGGTGATACCAATAATGCTGCTTTATTATTTAATGGTCTTTCGGAACATGTCGTTCACTCGACTCTCAGTTCTGAATACCTTGATATCTGCCAAAGGTTGAATGGCTATTGTCAAAATCCTTTGCACAAAATGAAGGCAACTCTAAGACGTGATTATTGTGGTACACCTTGGCAAACTGTTGCTTCTATTGCTGCAGTTGTACTCCTCTTTCTCACAGTTGTTCAAACCATATTTTCTATCCTCCAGGTAGTGATGAAGTAAATTTACAGCTTGTATAACATTGGATTTGATTAGACCTATAGAGATGAGCTTTGCTTTCAGGAATAATTACGTTCATCATGCCTATTTTCACTTTGTTTTTCAGAAAAAAAGCATCGTATGAAGTTAACAGATAATCTTTTTTTCATGATAAACATTTACGTTGGTCTTCCGTGCATAATTAACAATGTGTTACAGTTAAATTTCTTGAGTGGACAAAATAACTGCTGTTTCGGAGTTAACGAATTTATTGAAAATAAATAATGAATCGGTTATCAAAGACATATTTTAAGTCCTTTAACATCGGAACTTTGGGCGCGTCTTATATTGGTCTTAGAAAGGCACGGGACGAGAATCATAGACGAGCCTGCTTGAGAAATGATTGTAATTAAGTTTATCAAGGATGGAAATAATGGACTTCATGATAATTGGAATTTAATCTTAGAATGTCATACAATACTTTAACGCGATTGGTTTGTTGAGCTTCGACACATTCAACGAGAGAAGAATTTTGAAGTTGATATGCTGGCCAAGCACGCTTTAGCAATGCCCCTGGATTCGATTTGGGTCCTTTAGATAATTTCTATTTATTTGTTTCTTTATTATAATGCAGAATAATATTTATAGTTTTCTTCTTTATATTAAAAAAAAAAAGACATGTTAAGTCCCTATTATTTTTCTAACCCTGCCCGAATCAAATTCACATTTAATTTAGTTTGAGGGCTAGTTTTTTTATTTCCAATGTTCATGAAGTCCTTCAATTTTATATATCATTTAATTCTTAAAAATGTTCGTCTCGTATGAAGTTATAACAAGTTGACAACTTGCGGTGAAAGCGATTAATGTATCTTTTGCAGTGTAATATCAAAATACTGAGTACTTTTTTTCTTTGATACAAAAAAGTTTAGACGAGTTGGGTTATGGACCCTCTCTAGAGCCAAACTGTACCTTCAAACTCAAAAAACGCTTATAGAATAATTGCTTCTTTTTATAGCTTATTATTATTTCTTTCTGATGTAGGATTTAGAGATGAAATTTGTCGGCTCTTCCCCCCCCCCCTCCCCTCTGTCTCTTTCTTTCTCTGCAACTTTCTCCTTTTGTGAATTTCCTGTTCTGTTAACCTCTGGACCTGTTTTTCACTATAATTGCTACAGTATATGAACTTGCTTCGGTATGTACGTCTCCTTGAACATGTGTCTGACTATGCTTTAATAATCGATGATAAATATTTTTCTTTTCTTTCATTTGACGGTTGTTGTAAAAAATTACTAATAAAAATTTTATCAAATAATAAAATGTTAAACCAATTTGATAGTCATTCATTTAACCATAGAATATTTTGCCAACTAATTTAACGGTCAAGAGATTGGAGCCTGGTGTGTCCTTGATAATTCTCGGGGTAATTGAGAAGAATATATCTTTATTAAAGCTAGCTAGGTTCCTCAGAGTAATTTCCCTTTTTCCTCCTCATATATATGATACTTTAATTAATAAGGCATATTAATCTTCACGCAAACGAACCTTTTTTTTTTTTTACATGACCTTTAGGTTATTTGATGCTTTTGCTTAGAAAAAATACATCCTTTTTTTTTTCTTTTTTAGTTATTTTTACATTTTCTTGAGATATTTGTGTTGTATGTATTTAGAAAACTCCAGTGAGTTATATAGTTTAAAGCCTCTGCAGTGTTTGGTAAAAAAAAAAAAAAGGTAAGGTGCCCCTTAATTATTTTTAGAGGTTCATCCCATACCCTAAAATATTTAATAGTGTAATTTTGTGACCACAGTAAAGTGAGGGAAAAACTAACTTTCTTTTCATTAATGAAACTGATCATATATATACATATAATTGGTTTGGATATATAACAAACTTTACATTGTACAAACTTAACAAAATATTAACTCTTATCACTTGTCACCCCCCGCAAGCTGGAGCATGAATGTTTTTCATGCCTAGCTTGGATATGAGATCATGAAAACGTGCAGGATGCAGGGGTTTCGTAAACACATCAGCAATCTGATTTGTGGTGCGAACAGGGAGAAGGTGTATGACTTTGGCTTGGACTTTTTCTCTGACAAGATGACAGTCCAACTCTATGTGTTTTGTACGTTCATGAAAGGTGGGATTGGCTGCTATCTGGATGGCAGATTGATTATCACAATATAACAGAGCTAGATGGATATGAGAAACATTAAAATCAGTCAATAAGTAAAGTATCCATTGCAGTTCACAAGTAGTGGAGGCAAGTGCTCGGTATTCAGCCTCTGAAGAGGAACAAGAAACAGTAACTTGTTTCTTGGCTTTCCATGAAATTAAGGAAGAACCAAGAAAGATTGCAAAGCCAGTGACAGATCGACGTGAGTCCACACAACTTGCCCAATCAGAATCACTAAAACTTCTGAGTTTGAGATCTGAAGTAGAAGAGAAAAAGATGCCAGCACCTGGAGATGATTTAATGTATCTGAGCACTCTATGTGCAGCCTGTAAATGAACATCCAGAGGACTAGCCATGAATTGAATTAGTTGCTGAGTTGCAAAACTCAAATCAGGCCGAGTGGTAGTCAAATATTGCAATTTGCCAATGAGTTTTCTGTAGACTTGAGGATTTTCTAAAGGTTGTCCTTTTGTTTTTGAGAGCTTCAAGTGAGGATCCATAGGGGTAGAAGTAGGTTTACAAGCCAAATAACCTGTATCCTCAAGTAATTCAAGAGCAAACTTCCTTTGTGAAAGAAAAATACCTTCTTTGGAGCGAGCAAGCTCTAAACCAAGAAAGTATCTGAGCTCACCAAGATCCTTTATTGTAAAAGTATCATCTAGCTTCTTTTTGACAGAATTAATCTCAGTCATACAATTGCCAGCAAGGACTACATCATCAACATAGACAAGAATCACAGTAAAAGAAGAAGCAGATGCTTTATAAAATAAGGAATGATCAGAAGGGGACTGTGAATATCCATAAGAAATCAAGGCAGTAGACAGCTTGGAGTACCATTGACGACTGGCTTGCTTGAGTCTATAGAGGGACTTCTGTAGTTTACAAACCATGTTAGGCTTAGAAGGTGTGAATCCCCTAGGAAGTTCCATATAAACCTCTTCATGTAGGTCACCATGAAGGAAAGCATTGTTGACATCAAGTTGATGTAAAAACCAGTTTTTGGTAGTAGCTATAGATAGTAATAAACGTAGTGTAGTCATTTTAGCAACAGGACTAAATGTATCAAAATAATCAACACCCTCTGTTTGAGTGTAGCCTTTTGCTACAAGCCGGGCTTTGTACCTTTCTATCTCACCATTTGCCTTAAACTTAGTTTTATACACCCATTTACAGCCAATAGTTTTCTTACCAGGTGGTAATTCTGTGAGAACCCATGTCTGATTCTGCTTAAGAGCATGAATTTCTGCATTCATAGCATCTTGCCAGTGTGAATGTTTAACAGCTTGCGAGTATGTTTTAGGATCAGGGACAGAAGTAACAGTCATGACAAAATTTTTATAACTAGAAGAAAGAGAGGAATAAGAAAGAACAGATGAAAGAGGATACCTAGGAGTTCCTTTGCTTGATGATTGGTTAGTAGTAGAGGTAAGGGCACAGTGATATTCCTACAGATATGAAGGAGGTTTGTGTGATTTGGTGGAGCGCCGAAGAGTTTGAAAAGAGTCAGGGTTGGTGTGTAGAGGAACAGAGCAAGTTGGAGGGGAGGGAGTAGAAACAATAGGGGGTTCTGGAGTTGGTGTGGAAGTAACAATAGGTGCAGAAGGATTAGTAGGATGAGTAACAGTAGGTGTAATAGGAGGATGAATAGAAGATGGAATATCTTCCAAAAAGGTAGGAAAGGATTGAATAGTGGGTTCATTGTCTATAATAATAGGAGAGGAGGAATTGGTTTTGAAGGGAAACTCAAATTCATAAAAGAAAACATCTCGAGATAGAAAAATATTATTTGTGTGTAAATCTAAAACAATGTAAGCTTTAGAACCAGATATGGGTAACCAAGAAAAACACACTTTTTAGCTCTAGGATCAAACTTAGAACGATCATGTTGTAAAGTAGATGCAAAACAGAGGGAACCAAAGACTTTAAAATCAGCATAAGAAGGCTTACTATTGTATAATCTCTCAAAGGGTGTAAAATTCTTAATAATGGGAGATGGAAGACGGTTTATAATAAAGACAGCATGGGAAACTGCAAAGGACCAATAAGCAATAGGGATATTTGAGTGAAACAAAAGTGCTCTAGAAACATTCAAAATGTGCTGATGCTTACGCTCAACAACACCATTCTGTTGAGGAGTGGCTACACAAGATTTTTGATGAATAATGCCCTTTGAAGCATAGAAATCAGTCATGGAAAACTCAGGTCCATTGTCAGATCGTAAAATCTTAACAGAAGTAGAAAATTGATTTTCTACTAAGACTAAAAAATTCCGAAGCTTAGTTCTAGCATCTAATTTATTTTGCATTAAAAACAACCATGTAAAATGAGAGTAATTATCGACAATAGTTAGAAAATATTTGTGTCCTTGGGCAGAAGGGACAGAGAAGGGACCCCAGATATCTACTTGTATCAACTCAAAAATTTTATTGCTGAAAGTATTGCTTACAGGGAATGAAAGCCTTTTTGGTTTGGCAAAGTGACAAGTATCACATATGATTGAACGAGGATTACAATTGAAACCAGAAAAATTATTGTTCAAAATGGAAAAGGTAGAATTGGATAGATGACCCAACCGTAAATGCCAAAGATTGAAGTCTGAAACGGAAGTTGTAGAAGACACATTAATCTGAGATTGGTGAGTTGATGGTAGCATATCTGCATTTAAAACATATAGCCCCTCAAAGACTTTAGCTGAACCAATCATCTGCAAAGGTTGAAGTAAGTGTATATGACAAGAATGAGAATAAAAGGTCAGAAAACAATGTAAAGATAGAGTAATTTGAGAAACAGATATAATGTTGAATGTGAAGTCAAGGAGATACAAAACATTGGTCAAGATTAAAGTAGATGAAAGAGTGACTGTCCCTGAGAAAGAGGCAATTGAATGAGATCCGGTAGGCAAACTAACAGAAATTGGAGAAATAGACTGATAGGAAGAAAACAATTCAAGAGAACAGCAGACATGATCAGTTGCACCAGAATCAATGATCCAGGTAGACAAATTTTTGGAAGAAGTAGAAAGAATTTTACCTGAAACAGGAGAGGAAGCAGAAGCAGAGAAATGATTAATAGAAGAAGTAGAAGATTGTGGAGGATTAAGCAGAGCAAGGAGACGTTGATACTGAGCAGGAGACAATTGTGGAAGAATAGCAGCTGTTGAAGAATTTGGTGGCAGAGGCTTAGCAGTAGGAATTGCTTGAGCAGATGCAGAATCATGAGCACTTAATTGATTAACCATGGTAGGAGAACCAGACGAGCGAAATTTGAAGCCAGGAGGAAAACCGTGTTTATGGTAGCACGTGTCTTTAGTGTGGCGAGGTTTTCCGCAGTAGGTACATTGTTTATTAGTAACCTGCTTAGAGGCAGAGGAGGTAGGTCGAGGAGCTTTAGCCATCAAGATCTTGGAGTCAGGAACTATTTGAAGTTCACGCTCTTGTTGAAGAACAAGAGAGAAAACGCGATTCAGCGATGGCAGAGGATCAATGAGCATTATTTGAGACTTAACTGAGGAAAATTGCTCGTTCAAGCCTTTCAAGAACCAAATAACTTGATCCTCTTCATGATGTTTGAGAGCACTCTCAGTGGAACCATAATCGCAGACCTTGAGCGGGCGAATATTGAACAATTCGTCCCATAGAATCTTGAGACGAGTATAGTACTCACTAACGGTCATATTACCTTGTTTCAAAGTATAAACCTCCTCCTGTAAATCAGCCACTCTAAAGAGGTCCGATTGGGAGTAACACGATTTCAAATCATTCCAGATTTCAGAAGCCTGATCAAACCATAGGATACTTCTAGCAATGGTCGGTGATAAAGATTTGATAATCCACCCCTGTACCAGATTATTGCAACGCTCCCATGCAGGATACAACGGATCTTTGACGGAAGGTAGAGAAATGGAGCCATCAATGAATTTCAGCTTATTTTTGGAAAGCAACGCCATCTTCATCGATCTTGCCCAGCCATGGTAGTTAGCTCCGTCTAGTGGTGGAGCAACGAGCACTAATGCCGGATTCTCACTCGGATGAATATAATATGGGCTATTCTGATCAGTGACAGAGGAGGAGTTGAAAGATTCAGAAGAGGAGGCCATGATAGGACGTATCTGGAGGAAAGAAAGCTCAAAAAGAAACAAGAAAGAGAGAGAAAAGTGGAAGACAACTGGAAAAGGAAGTCAGAGAAGGAAAAAAAAAAGTGGAATGGCTCGTGATACCATGTGACCACAGTAAAGTGAGGGAAAAACTAACTTTCTTTTCATTAATGAAACTGATCATATATATATATATACACAATTGGTTCGGATATATAACAAACTTTACACTACAAACTTAACAAAATGTTAACTCTGATCACTTGTCAAATTTTGCCCCTAATATATTAAAAAGGAAGCAATCTCACCCCCTAAGCTAACAGACTTCAACACCGTTATTCCCATTTTCTCAGAAGCGCATCCACATGGCTCATGGCCTCGACCATCGTGGCCATTGTCACGATCCTTGCTAGAAACTTTTCTCGTTCAGATCTAGAAAATTTTCTCCCAACCAGGCCCTCGTGAGAGGAAGGTTAAGGATTGTACATTTGTTTGTTCCTAAAATCCAAAGATTTCCCAAGATTTTTCCTATCAGTTTGCTTTTTCTTTGTTCGTTTACGTTTCCTTTTTCCTTATCCCTTTCTTCATTTGGTTATCGCAACTTTGAGCTTCAATCTTCTCAAAGTTTCTTCCTTTAAGCCTTCAAATCCTGCATTTTGGTAATGCTCACTTTGCAATATTAATGTTCGCTTCAAGTCCTGCATAATCCGAATAGATTAGGCATTTTGGGGGATCGCCTTTTCGTGTTTACCTGACCCACAATATTTTCTTTGTGATGTTCGATTATTCTTTAGAACTCAAGAAGTTGTACAATGTGAAGAGGCAAGCACCAGCAGGGCTTAAAGCAAAGTCGGTGTTACAAACAAGAACAGAAAATCTGAAAAAGTTCTGCACTCTGGGAAGTAAGTTTGGGAATTTTCATTGTGTGGAGAAGCACACAAGGAAAGAGTATACTTGAAAATCAACAGGCAAGAGAAAATTGATGGCAGAGGAAGATGTGAGGAGGGAGATTCGAATAATGCATTACTTCATACGGTGTCCTGACGTGAAATCCATGAAAGGGACTTTTGTTGTGATGGAGATCTGTGCAGGTGGTGTGAGTTATTTGACTGCAAGAAAGAAGCGAGCTTGTGTGGGACATTAGAATAGCAGGAGGAAGGATAAAAATCAGGCGCAATAACGGTGTTAGGGTTCTGTTAACGAGAGATTGCTTCATTTTTAATATAATAACAGAATTGCACTACTAAATACTCCATTCGTTTCTTATTATAAGAGACAAATAACCGAAGTACGTTGATAAAAAAAACAGTTAAAATTAGTTAAGAATAATTAATATGTAAAAAGTATAATTTTTTTTCTAAAAATGCCCTCATTAATAAGGAGAGAGAGCATGAGAGAGAACAATTAAATTATTAAAAGAAAGAGAAGTGGGAGGGAGAGAGAGTGTGAGTTGGAGATAATAAATATGGGTAAAATAGTAAATCAACACAAAAAAGTAGAGACAACTTGTAAGTATCTCTTATATATAGGAACATGCCATAAGCATCAAATGTTTCTTATAATAAGGAACGGATGGAGTATTTTCTAAAAATGACTTAAACAATTTTAAAGGTAATTTTGGAAGTTAAAAGGACCTATTTTCTTGAGAATTCAAGTAAAATAGTTAGAGGTTTATATTTGAGCTAAAAATTTTAAGATAATTATTTTATGAGGCAAAAAAAGCTAATTGAGGCATAAAATTCTTAAAATAAATTAAGGATTACTTTTTTGAACTAAGAGCTATTTTCTTGAAAAATTCAAGAAAAAAAGTTTGGAGTTACATTTTGACCCAAAAAATTTTAAAGGAGTTATTTTAAGGGCTGAAGAAGTTAGTGAAAGAAGGAAATTTATTAAAACTATCAAGGATTAAATTCTGAAATTATTTCATTATTTTAGAAAATAGAGAAGGATTAAATTGTAAGCAATGGTGATCAGGGGCATGTTGGTAATTTCATTTTCTCTCAACCACTTAACCCATCCGATTCACTCTTTCCCTTCCCATTTTCATTTTTGTGCGACGCTGAGAGAAAAGAGGGAGAGCTGAGAGAGTCGGAGCAAGAGGAAGAAGAACGAAGAAGGAGAAGAGGTTGAGTGGGAGCCGATTGCTTACATGCAAGGTTGGATTTGGATTAAGGTAAGCCTTCTAATCATCCTCCTATCTTCTTCCATTCAATGCATTTTGGAAGAGATTATGATGGTTTAAATTTTTGGGTTATGGATGAAAGTTAGCATCTAGCTGGAATAAATGTAGTAAAGTGGAGATATAGGTTTGATTTAGTAAGTTATGGGTTGCACGTGCTTGCTTCGCCCTCTGTTCATGGCTGCCAAAACAGAGCTTATGCTTCCTGGTTTACGGTGTATCCATCGGGTTCAATGGGAGAGAAGCTTTAACAATCAATTTGCTGAAATTTAAAAGGGAAGAAGGAAGTTACACACAAACACACATATGTGCCGTTTGTGTAGTGTTAGGAATTAAATGGAAACCGTTATACACATGTAAACATGGTGTGAATGGCGCAGATATATAGAAATGAGGAAGAAAGGAAGCTGTTTCATTTTCTTCAAAACTTAATTGTTAATTGAATCTAGAGGATTTACCTAGTTTTTATGTGGATACGTAATGGTTTAAGAAATGGTGTTAGATCATTTTTTCCCTTTGCCAGCCGAGACTGATAATGAGTTTATCATTATGATGCTAAATTTGAAATGGGTTAGCTATTGCCCTTCAATCTGAAATTTTCTGTCCAGATTTACTTTAAAGGATTATATGGGATTAGAAAGCACAAGAATGGTCGTAAATTGACTATGAAATTTCGATTGCAGAAGCTCTTGGTCACCTTTTTTTTAATTATTATTTTACCAATACAAATCATTTTTTTTTTTTTAATGAGAACTGTATAACTAACTGAAAAAACAGAGAACACAAGATAGCCAACAATCCTATCCTTGATCAACCTCCACCTGCTAGCTAAGATGGGGAGAGTGATCAAAGAGCAAAAAATTTCCTTCTATCCTATGCGAGAACTTTGCTAGCCTATCTGCCATGACCATATTCTCTCTTTAAACATGAGAGATTATGACCTACCAATCCCTATTCAATAAAAGTCTAACATCATCTATAACATCCTTGAAAGGATGATCGATGTCACAGCCTCTAATAGCAAAATTAATAGCAATTATACAATAAGATAAGAGAAGAATTTTCCTATATCCTTTAGTCTAGCAAATACTGAGACCATGGATAAAAACTATTAGTTCAGCAATCATAGGGGGAACTGTTGTCAACTTGCAGCTCAATCCACAACATCCATTGGTCATTGTTGTCACATAGGAATCCTCCACAGCCACTTCTACCATCATCTAATATCGAGGCATCCACAACGATTTTGATATAGTCTTCAAGCTCATGCCATGGGTGAGCGTCTGTTGGTTGAATGACACTGAGAATGCCTCCATGCTTCAAAAGATCTTGATCTAAGCAAGCCCTAAAGAAGCTGGTATTGGCATTAAGTCTCCTGCTGGCAGTTTCTCCCTTGAAGATCTTTCTCCACTGTGACACCTATATGTCCCAACAAATATAGCCAAATAGTGTGGGCCATGCATGGAACCTTCTTTGTATGAATCATTCCAATCTCATTTGTTAGGTTCCATTTGATCCATTCTGATCCTTGAATTTCATTAAAATTACTCCATTTGTCATATTTTACCATCAATTTCCATCTATCTGCAGCGTTCAAACAATCTCGAATTAGGTGCATTTGATTCCTGATCACATCCGAATGGACAAGAAGCCAAAACCTCTATCCCACGTCTCAATCTTAGCTGTGCTGTATGCAATCTTCCATGAGTAAAGAGCCACATAAATGTTTGGATCTTTTCTAGGCCAGACCATCTCCAAAGGATCTTCCAAATGTTGTCTCTCCTCTACTGGGTACCTACAAAAAGAAATCAATATGCAGATTTAACAGAAAAACAACTGGCGGGAGATAGTTTCCAAAAGTATTTGTCCTCTCCTCTCTCCTCACGGGGTGGATGTGCATAGGCTATGCGATCGATGACTTGTTTGTGAAGCCAAGTTCCCATTTTCCACCTATCCCATTCACCATTGGTTGTCACGTAATCTGCAACACATTCATTCCAATCAATTTGGTCTTCATATCCCGGAATAAGATCAATCAATGGAATATTCATCTCAGACCAATTGTCAGACCAAAAGGAAGAGGTCATCCCATTGCCTATTTTCCTTCCAATGCCCCTTTTGAATTTCTTCCAAACGGCACAAATACTCCTCTAGGTGAGGGAGAAATGGGTAGATTCTGATCACCACAGTGATATTTATCCTTAAGGACTTTAACCCACAAAGCATCCTTGTTAGTTATCAGACCCCAACAAAGTTTCATAATAAAAGCTTTATTCTGTTTCCTCATATTTTTTTTTCCTAATCCACCCAAACTTATCTTGCATCACTTGGTCCCAAGAAAGGAGGTGGATCTTATGCCCATCTTCGCTGTCTCCCCAAAGAAACTTCCTACTGCTCTGTTCCAAATTTTTCACAAGACTTTTCGGAAGCAAAATAACTTGCGCATAGTAAGTAGGAAGGGCTGAAAGAACAGATTTTATTGAAGTCACTCTCCCAGCTAAGTTCAGACATCCCTTTTTCCAACTCGACAATCTTTTTCTGGTCTTTTCAAGCACCAGTGTAAAAGTCATATAGGAGGCTCTCTTGTGTAGTAAGGGTATACCCAGGTATTTCCCCAGATCACTGGTTAGACCAGCCCCCATTTGCGTGCTTAACTCAAGGGATCTTGAGTAGTGCACATTTTAGGAGAAACATATCTTTGTTTTAGCTTTATTTATCTGTTGACCTGAAACATCACAAAACATTTTCATATAGTCCATCATTGTTTCCACTTGTAGGCTTGAAGCTTCCCCAAAGAGAATCAGATCATCTGCAAAGAATAAGTGTGAAATTGAGGGGCCTTGTAGAGTTATCCAAATAGGATTCCAAGTACTTCATCAATCGTATCTTTGATTAAATGATTCAACCTTTCCATACAGAGAGTGAAGATGTATGGAGAAATGAGATCACCTTGTCTTATCCCTCTCAAAGGTTGGAGGGCCTCTGTAGCTTTCCATAAAACTCTAAAGGAAGAAGTGGAAATGCAGGTTATGATCAGATCATATAAGTCATCACTCATGCCCACTGCTTTAGGAGTGTCCCTTATAAAGGTCCATTTTAACCCACTGTAAGCTTTTGGCAGGTCGACCTTCACTGCCAGCCACCCTTTCTGTCCTTTTTTAGTCTTCATTGCATGAATAACTTCTTGGACTATGATGATGTTATCACTACTTTGCCTGCCCGCTATGAAACTGCATTGATGTTGTCGCACTACTTCCCCCATGATGGCTTTGAGATGTTTGCTTAACACTTTGGTGATTGCCTTATAACTCACATTGCAGAGAAATATAGGTCTAAAATCTTTAATAACCTCGGGTTTCTCCATTTTAGGGATAAATACTAGATTGGTCTCATTTACGGATCTCACCTTTCTCGGATCCTGGAAAATCTCTTTCACAATTTCACACAAGGCAGGTTCTATTATGTTCCAAAACTCATGGTAAAAGAAAGCTTGTATTCCATCTGACCCTAGTGCTTTAAAGGCTCCCATATCAAACACAGCCTATTTAATCTCTTCATTAGTGACTTCTTGTGATGACAAAGCTAGATCTTCATTTCTGAGGTTCAGAAAGCCATGATCAGTAGAATAATTCACAACTTCTCCCTGTTCGCTTTGGACAAGGTTCTGGTAGTAACCCAAAGCCAAGGTTTTAAGATCTTGCTGATTAAAAATCCATTATCCATCTGAATTTTTTAGCCTATCAATAAAGTTCTTCTGTCTTCTAACAATGGTTGAAGCATGAAAGAATTTGCTATTTTTATCTCCCTCTTTGAGCTAATTGCACCTTGATTTTTGAAACTAGATTAGCTCTTCTTGTGCTAAAGCTTTATTATATTCTCTCCATGGCTCTTTCTCTGTCTGCATTAAATACTGGTTGTCTCTTCTGGCTCTTGATCTTTCCACTTCCTCTAATCTTCTTAGGAGTTTTCTCTTTTTATTTACTATGTTACCCACTTTGCTACTATTCCAATCTGTTGCTGTACCAGTGAAATGGGCAACATTATCTTCCCAATTTCCCTTATTCTAGCCTTGTTGCATAATCGAGAGAAAGTCTTCTTCTAAGGGCCAAGCAGCTTGACATTTTAAGTGAGGCTTTGGTCTCCTCTTGTGATAGTTTTGAGAGCATTTCATTTCACAAGTAAGGGTCTGTGGTCTGAGGCAAATTTGCTTGAATGAAAAATTTTTGCTTGAGAAAAACGAACATTCTAGCTTTCATTGGCCAAAGCCAATCAAGTTTTTCTTTTATCAGATTTTTTTCCCATGTAAACCGTTCACCCACACTCTCTGTTTCTACTAGCTGGGTCTATTGAATACACTCTCCAACCTGTTGCATAGAGTGAAAATTAGGATGACCTCCCCCTATTTTATCATCACTTGACAAATATGCAATAAAATCTCCAATCACAAAGCAGGGGCATTGAATATTGTGGCTGATATTGATTAGATCACGCCAAAGGTTTTTTCTAAGACCATAGCAGGGCCCAGCATACACACAGGTAGGTAAGAAATTTTGAATAGTTCCAACCACTTCAATATAGATATTGATGTATTGTATCGAAGAGGAGACATACCTAATAATAACGTTCTCCTCATGCCAGAGCACCCATATCCCTCCTGTATATCTGGTTGCTACTAATCTCAGCCATCTATTGAAACCCAGCTTCCTTCTCACCTTATCTGCTTTCTCTCCACTTATACACATTTCAAGAAGAATAAGGAGTTGAATTTCTTTGCCATTCATTAGATCCTTCACTCTACGAGGGAACGTTTTTGATGCAGCTCCACAACAGCTCCAAGACATAAAATTCATGATATACGGACAGGAGTAGAAAGTCTCGATAACACCGAGACTATAGTGAGGATTCAATGGCCTCCATACTCTTCTCATTACCATTAAAATCTTCTCTTACTTCTGCTTGTGTTTCATACCAATGGTCATTGACTTCATGATTTTCTCTTTGCCAACCTTTACTCTCTTCAATTGTAGATGGGTCTGGTGGTTTTGGTACTGCATCAATGAATTGCTCTTTCAGTTGGTGAATTTCACTAGCTTCAGGAGCTTTGTCTTGCATAATAACCACATTTTCTACTTCCTTCTGTCGTTTAGTCTCTTCTGCATCTTTGGTTGCTACATTAGTGAAATCTAATGGGCCTATGCTTACCCCAGATCCAAAAACCACATGGTGGATTCGACTGGGGCTCCTCTTTTTTAGGAGTGGGGATATGATTTTGGGCCTTGTAGCCAGGCCTCTCTTTTTTCTGTCCTTTCCTTTCTTCCCATTTACTAAATGAGACTTCGACGGGCTTCCTTGTTCTATGGGCCCAACTGAACCCTAGGTCAGTATCTTGTCTTTATCAACCCTAGCTTTCGTTCCCTTGCCTTTTCATCTTAAGCGTCTCAGTCATGTCCCTTTTTTGGCCAAAAACATTATGTTCTCTTCCTCAGACTTAGGTTGGCTAGTTTCTCCTTTTTCCAAGTTCACGTCTTTTCTTTCCCTGCTCCTCAACAGTACTCTTTCCTTTCCCTTGTGATGAAACTTCTCCCCCTTCTTTCCTCCTCCACTCTTTCGTAGGAGCTTTGTTGCTGGTTTGAGTTTATCTGGCAGACGAGGTGACAGGTTCGTCCATTTCCTTTGATATGTCAAATTGTGTGCCCGTACTTGAGCATGTTTCTCTATGTACCACCAGGCTTCCTCTGTGACTAACTCTCTGCTGTGATCTTCTTTCACCTCTGCTTTTTGATTTCTTGATTTAAAAGTATTTTTTGCTTCATCCAAGAACCAAAGGAATCCTCTCGGTTTTCACACCTGGTATACTAGCCGACAGTTGCTTGTTTGCTTCCTTCTTTGTATCCTGATTGTTGTCTTTGGCATCAGAGCTGGGCATCTCCGGCGAGCTCTCCTATGAAGTTTCATTAAGAGGACAATCTTCCTGTCTATGACCATAGCATCCACATTTAAAGCATATAATATCCAACCCCTCGTATTCAACAGTATACATCTTTTTCTTGATAAGAAAACGTGATCTTGAGGGCTGGTTCAAATCTACTTCTACACTAACTCGAGTGAATTTCCCCCTCTCCACAGCGACATTGTAGTTACTCCATGTGGTTACTGCAATGAGCCAGTGTATTAATATCCACCTTTAGTGCTTTACCTATCATATTCCCCAGCTCCCATGCACTTTTCAGAATAAATATGCATAGGTAGCGTTGGCACCCTCACCCATATGGCCACTTTCCTCCCTTATTGCAATACAGATTGAAGTTAGGACTCCATCTTTGGACTGCCACATAATACCCCTTCATCATCCATGGACCATCAAAGAGAAGCTTCATACTCAGTTCTTTGTTGGTTGACCGAAAAACAAAATAATTATTTGGTAGTCAATAAGCTCAAATTTGTTAGTGTGTAAAATCCAAGCCACCCTATCCTTCATTATTCTGAGCGAAATTTCTTTGCCCAGTAGTGTGATGATAACAGCATTCTTCCAGGGTCTGCACAGCTCTTTTAGAGTCGATCATCCAGCGTATTCAGTTTTGGAAGTGACCCTGGGATTTTCTTCTTCTCTTTAGTGGGGATTGGAGCGGTTTCTCTTCTTCTCTCCTGAAGCCATTCCACCATTTGATCCTCAAATCCTGTGAAACAACTTTTTCTTCCCTACCTAGTAGTTTAGCTTTGAAATCACTATTGAGTCGTCATTTAAAATCTGTCTTTATTAATCGTTATTCAACCGTAAAAAAGTGGAACTAAATGGACAGTTTTTAAAGACAATCATTAAATAAACAGTTCCCGTTTTGGTTAATGGCAAAGCTTAGTTTATACACATTTTATTTCACATTAGTTAAGGGTTTTAAACGATAATTTTGAGTTTAGATAAATTTTTAATGTATTATTTGCTTAAATTGCTAATTGAAATTTTTTAAAATTTCAAGTGAAAATATTTTTGTGGTTTTCAATTGGGAAATACAAAAAAACTTTGGAATTGCAAAAACACAGATAGGGACCCTTAACAACTCACTTTAGGTTTGACAACTTCATGGCATATTATTATTGTCAAAACCCAAAGTGAAGTTGTCAATCGTCCCTATCTGTATTTTTACAATTCTAAGGTCTTTTTTTGCAATTTGCCCTTTTCAATTCTTGATGTAGAATCAATATTTTCTATTTCTTTGAAATCAATTCTGAAATTTTTGAGAAGTTGATGTTTGGAGAGTTTAATTTAGGATTGCAATTGATATCTGGAAACACTTTTGGATTACAATTTTTTCTCCAAATAGAGCTTTATTGTTAATTTTTATTTTTGCAATAATTTCTTATTTTATTTTTGTGCGTATCTAGTATTTGATTTGAATATGGTTTATATTATATTTAAATATAATTTATGTTAATGGATGGACTGTATTTCTTGCAGGTCAATAAAAAAATAAATAAATTAGGAAATACCACGCTACAAACTTAATCTTCGAAGTTCTAGAATAATCTAATAGTTAAATTTATTAAATGCGTCAATTTATTGTTAATAGGCTCAAATCTCATGCCCAGCATTTTCTCTTGCTCATGTATGTTGAATACCTTAGCTGCCACACAGATTACGGAAAGAAGAAGCGATAACATTGTGGCTCCTTGGGCAGAAATTTCCTTATTTTTTTATTATGATAATCTTCATCTCTCCCTTCAATAGTCACTTGCCACTCACATAAATACAGATTCCATTTAGTCATTCAATTTACCTTTTTTTCTCACATCCCTGTCAACACGTCTTTGTCAATATATCCCATGGCCGTGGCTTGTTACTTGAAGGAGCAGGAGCTAGGAGGCACTTCAATGGCAACTTAAGCTTGTTTGATTTACAATACAATTTTAGAAGAGCATGGAGGAGGGTAGAACTTTGAGCTGGGATTTAAAGACCAGGTAGAAATGTTTTCATTTATCTTTTTGGTTCAAGAACTTGGGATTATTTATTTTTAATTGATTTTGAGTTGTATTGGTTGAAGAAAATCTAGTTCTAAGTTGTGGTAAACGTTGGTTTAAGACTTAAGAGCCTGCTGTGCGGCAGCCCCCTACCTGACATTTTTATTTTCGGATTAGATTGATTTTTAGATTAAGTTTGTGCTTGATATTTGCTAAAATTTATGTTTGAAAATCCTTGAATTATTAATTTGATTATCAATGTGGTTGATATTGCAAATTTGGGTTTTTTTTCCCTTAGCCTCTTGATTGTTGAATTGAGTTGGTAAATTGTATAATTATTTAATTAGATAATCCTAAATATAATTTCTGAAATCAACTTGAATTCATTATTCTTGGTTTTAATGAGTTTAATTAATTGGCTTTACATCAATATGAGTTATCTGATGGTTTAATTGTTATTGTGTTTGAGGATTTTCACTCCTTTATCATTTCTTTTTTGGTCTAATTAATTGAATTAAAGTGGCTAGGAAATTTAAATCCATTTGAATCTAAGTTGTCCCCTTTTTCCTTTAGCATGCCTGAACAAAACCTCTCTCTCTCTCTCTCTCTCTCTCTCTCTCTCTCTCTCTCTCTCTCTCTCTCTCTTTTTTAATTATCTTGCTTTGCTATTTAGTCAATCCACATTGTTACCTTGGATGAAGGAATAACATGCCGGACTACAGGCCTAAACAGAATTGATGAAGGAATAAACATATAGGGTGTCTCGATTTCCCATGAATCCCAAGTTTTCCACAACAGAGAGGTTGCTGTTTAACCTGAAGGCTACTGTTTTTTAGCCATGCAGGATGATTTAGTGACGACATGGAATGAGTTATAGATGATAAATAACAAAATTATTAAAGATTAAAAAATTATAACTAAATTTTAAATGAAATAAAAGTTCAGCGATTGAATTATGCTGAGACATGCTCGCTTGATCCATAATATTAAGACATCAATTAAAAGAAAATTGTGATTTAAATTTTACTAACAACATTTTTTTAGTGGCGCCCATGTTAATTTTGTAAAAGTACAAAAATATCCCGTACTCGAACAAATCAAAGAAGTGTAGAGCAAAAGTACTTTAACGAGAGTGCGCCAAACACCATTTGTTTTTTAATGGGCGCAAAAGTACCCAACACCAGGCAAATAAATTAATTCTTCAAGTTTGGGCCAAAAAAAAATTCTATTAATTTTATTATACTATTATAATACAAATAATTTTATAGTTAATACATATGTTTGGTCTTCCAAATCTGCATTAAGTTTTAATTTAGTCTTTTAAGTCTATAAAGTATATTTTCAGTGCCTTAATATTAACACTGTTGGTCTTATTAACAGAAAATATTGATTCAACGAATCTTAGTGGTAACTCCATAATTAAATATTAAAATATTAATCCTTAATTCATATATTTAAGAAATAATAATGAAGCTGATTTAAGCATAAACAACTGAAGCTGATTGAGCATAAACAACCTATCTTTCAATATATAAAAATATTATATTAAATGATTAAATCTTAAGTATGTTTTGTCAACATTTAAATTCACTAAGTTAGTATTTTTGTTAAGGAGACCAACAATATTAAAATTAAAAGATTAAAAATACATTTTATAATTTAGGAGACAATTAAAAATTGCTGCAAATTTACAAGACTAAACATATATATTAACCATAAAATTATTAGTATTATAATAGTACCGTAAAATTTTATAGTTTTTCTTGCTAAAACTGAAATAATTAATTTATTCGTATGTGCCTACTAAAAAAATATATGGTATTTCCATACTTCAGTTAAAAGTTTATGGGTGCTTTTACGCTTTTACACTTCTTTTTTTTTTTTTTTAGTAAGGAGTATTTTTGTACTTTCATAAAATTAATGTGGGCCCCACTGCAAAAAATAACATTTCCTAGTGAAATTTAACGGTTGTTAGGAACTTATCAGGGAGACTAATCATTGGGGAATTAGTTTTGATACTCAGCCAAGTTTGTCATATTTAGACCATTCAGATCTGATGTGAATGGTTTGGATTTAATTTTTTTATTTTCATTTTAATAAAAATCATTTTTCAAAAAAATGATAGTAGTTAAGAGATTATTTTTGTTTTAGATTTTATACTCATTAAAATAGTTATTTAAAAAACAAAAATAAAAAAATTAAATCTAGATCATTCGAATCAGATCTAAATAGTCCAGATACAATGAGCTTAGCGTGCAGTTCTCCAATGGTATAGTCTCAAATACAATTTCCTATAAGATTAAAAAAAAATAATAATACTTACATTAAGTTTCTTATATTCATTGTGTCAAGTTCACCAATCACATATGATCATGTATCTTATTTTTGAAATATTAGCATAATAGTATTTAATTATAAATCCACGTGAAATTAAAAAAGGACATATGGTCATGTATAATTGGAAAATTTTACATAATGGATATAAGAAACTTGATCTAAGTTTTTTCTTAAAAAAATTAGTCAACGTTAGTTAAATATAAATTGCAGTTATGAATTTGTAATTTTATTAAGTATTAACCATGAGAATTTAATTTATTCCTGACCATTAGATGATGATCGCCTAGAATAAAATGAAAGCATGAAATAAATAAACGAAAATACTGTTAAACTTTATGGTTTTGATAAGCTCATTACTCAGAAAGCCTAAAAGAAAAGAGTTTTATTAATAAAAAAAATTATAGAAGAATAAATTATTTAATGCTGGTTATTAATTTACTTTAATTTAATTAATTATAATTATTTCCTTACTTTCAAAGTCAAATTAGCTTGAATTAATATAATTTGCGGTGTAAGATTATCAATTTGATCGGCAATTTACATTGGAATATATTTTCACATCAAAGCGACGCATTAAGGAGAAAAAAGAATGAATTAGATGCCTAGCTATCGTGGCTTTTTTTATGCTCAGTTATTTCGAATTCATTATTCTTCTAAGGTTCAAACTAGCTTCATCTCTCTCCAAAGTATTAAAAGTCGGATTGGTCACTAAATCGGTCAAAGAAGTAATTTAAGAATTAGTAGGTCAAATAGAAATCAATTCGGAGTTAGATCAGCCAATTAAAATAATTTGATTTAATTAAAATTATTTGTATTTAATAATGAATGTTTTTAATTAAAATTGAAGTGTGATTCCAAAGGGGCTTTTGAAGGGTAAATGAGGCATATCATATTTAAAATGAGTTTCCGAAGAGTTTTAATGGTCCGTTCTGGTGTAGTTTCGTTTTTGGACTAACACTGTCTACTGCGTTGGATTTAAGTTTTTGTCTTATTTTTCTTTGATATGGTGAGGGCCCAAATCCAGTCCAAAGAAATCAAAAAATGTTATCCCATCCTTTTCTTAGATTCTACCGCCACCAACCACCAATCACCATTTGATTTTCACTGACAATCTTATCCCTTTCTAACCCTTGGACAAACCTCTTCAGCGTGCTTTCATCTCTACTGCAACACAACTTTGGCATTTTTCATTCTTTGGTCTTCCGATCCCCTCTTCCTTTTCTTCTCATCCTTTCTTCTTATCTTATTTACACATCCCTTATGGTTACTCGACCATGTCGGAGTCTCTTATCACTTGTAGATGGTGAAATCAATTTATTTATTATTGTCCCTATATTGTTAGACTTAGCCAATTATATTCAACAAATTTTTTAGAAAATCATGTCCACGTCCTATTTTAGTTAACCTAATAATCAAGATCCAAAGTCACAAGCCGTGGTCCAGTTAAAAGTCAATTAGTCCAAAATATGATTTAGCATAACAAACTACTTTGCCACAAAATAACGTACAAAACACCAAATATTGGTGACATATTATCAATATATAACACATAATTTTACTCTGGAAGCCAGAATTAATTTAGTCCTCAACAAAATGAAAAACAAAGAAAACAAGTACATGGGAAACAATAAGAAGTAATTGCAAGAATTAAATTTTTCGAATTAAATTGTAGAAATTTAATTTTAAATGAATCAAAATTATAACAACTCAGTCAAAGTTTCAGCTCAAAACTATAGGAGAAAATTATTAATTTGTTTTGAATTACTTTTATCACTGTTTTCTATTACTATGCCTACCACGAGCCAGGAGTTTCAGCTGTGCCCGAAGCTGCCCCTCAATTTTGCTGCTCTCTCCAACTATTTTTTCAGCTTTTTTTCATCATTAGATTCTATATAAAATAAGTGACGTTTTTATATATATCTTATTTGTAAAAAAATGATTTAGTTTTCAACTTTTTACTATTTTTCAAATATTTAACATTACCATTCTCATCTTTAAATTGCCAAAACTCTTTCCAGCAAGTAGACAGCAGCTTTCTTTCCTCTTTAACTTTTCAAAAGAAGTGGAATACAGATAACAAGTGGGACTATAGTAGATTTCTTTTCTTTTTTTGTTATTTGTTTTTGGATCTTTTTTTTTTAAAAAAAAGGGTGTAGTATAATTATAAGCCTTCTTCAAGGAGTGTCCTGTGTATTGCTGAGCAGATCAACTTTCTTTTCTGCTTCAGATCAGCTTGTCATTCTTGCGCGGATCTGTTGTTTCCTGAATGGCAGAAGCAATTCATACTGACATTAAATGGGAGATGCCTGATGACATGAATCAACAAGACTTGGCCTCTGAGACTGCTCAACAAATGGTGGCGCCTATAGATTTATCCTCCAATAACTTGCAGCAGCAACAAGAGGCATGCATCATCCTTTACTGCTCTTTCTTCTATTCTGAACCCTTTTCTTATTTTCTTTACTTCTCTTTTTGCTTATTATTTTTTAAGGTAACTTCTGTTTAATTTTTTTTTTGGCCAAAAGGTAACTTCTGTTTAATTAATTCCTCAATTATTACTACACTTCTAAGGATATACACTTGTCAGATTGCAAGTATGCATCCTGTGCTTTTCATTCGTGATGATGCCTTTTCTTAATTTTGTCGCACCTTTTTAGATTCATTGAAGCGTCTCTTTTTTTTTAAAAAAAAAAAAATCATTTTCTTAATTGTTCTTAACAAACGGTGATGCAGTTATTAAAACATTTATATTTCCCAGGCTTTAGGGTCACCTTCATTATATTGCTTTGTTAATGTGCAATTTCTGCTTTCCTTCTGAATCT